TGTGCCCTGTGGAGTTCATTAGTAGAGTTGGAAAAAAGGCTATCTTTACGTACATACTTCTCATGTCTTAACAAAGAGGCTATAAATTGGCAACCTGCTCATAAGTATTTTCTTTGTTCCACACAGTGTTTTCAGCTAGGACACAAAGGTATTTGCTCACCAATTTTTTTTTAAATATATTTTATTGATTTTTTACAGAGAGGAAGGGAGAGAGACAGAGAGTCAGAAACACGGATGAGAGAGAAACATCGATCAGCCGCCTCCTGCACATCTCCTACTGGGTATGTGCCTGCAACCCAGGTACATGCCCTTGACCGGAATCGAACCTGGGACCTTCCAGTCCGCAGGCCGATGCTCTATCCACTGAGCCAAACCGGTTTTGGCACCAATTTTTAAAGATCAAATTTCTTATAAATATTTCTGGATTTCTCTCTGTGTGTGTGTGTGTGTGTGTGTGTGTGTGTGTGTTTCTTTCTTGAAAATGTGATTGCATTCCCTTATGACAACAGTTGGCTGCTGCTGAGGGCAGGCTGCTCCTTTAGCCAGGTCACCACTACTTCTGTCAGTGACATCACCACCAGGCCCACCTTGCTCTAGGCTGGAGCAGAGTGAAAAAGGAGAGAGTGCTAGGAGGAGTGCTCAGAGGCTAAGGGACACGTCAGAATATGGCAGACCTCGAGGCCATCATAGAGACCTGGCTTTTACTGCAAATGACATGGGGAGCTATTGAGGGGTTTTGAGCCAAAGAGTGACTTGACCTTAGATTTTTAAACCACCACACAGCCATACTGCTGGTTTTAGCTTTTAGGGGGAAACTATCTAGACCAGCCGTGGGCAAACTACGGCCCGTTTGAAATGAATAAAACTAAAAAAAAAAAAGACCGTACCCTTTTATGTAATGATGTTTACTTTGAACTTATATTAGTTCACACAAACACTCCATCCATGCTTTTGTTCCGGCCCTCCGGTCCAGTTTAAGAACCCATTGTGGCCCTCAAGTCAAAAAGTTTGCCCACCCCTGATCTAGACTGCAATGGTGGAAACAGGGAGACCTACTCAGAAGCCTTTACCAGGGAGCATGGGATGGCTTAGATCAGCCGGGGAGGTGGTGTCAAGTAGGGGAAGTCAGGATGTGTCTGAAGGTTAAGTCAACAGAATCTCCTGTTGGATTAAATGTGAGATGTGAAAGAAAGAAGCCAGGCCAAAAACCCCCAAAGGTTTTGGCATGAGTGACTGGAAGGATGGAGTTGCTATTTGAGATGAAGAAGCTGGAGGAAGAGTAGATTTAAGGGGCAAAATCAGGAGTTCCAATTTGGACATGTCGACCTTGGGACATATAGTGATATCCAAAGGAAATGTTGAGTAAGCTGTTAGACATAAGTCTGGAGTTCAGGGGACATGTCTGGATGGCAATAAACCTTTCATTTTCTGATTTAGTCCCATAATTTTTAATACCCTATAATATTGGTGACTCCCAAATGTTTATGTTTACAGTGGATTCAAGCAGATTATGGATGTATGGCTGTGTTGCCAGGAAAGAGAGAGGTGAGCATCTTGGTCTGCCACTTTATCTCTGATCACATAAATCACATTTTCAAGAAAAAAAAACAGAAATCCAGAAATGTTTATAAGACATCTGATCTTTAAAAATTGGTGAGCAAACCCCTTTGTGTCCAGTGCTTGGATCTCAGGTTACCTCTGAATCCCTACCCAACTTTACTAAGTCGCATATCTATCTGTTAAGCTGTAAAGAGAAATTTGAATCAAGGTCTGAAATCCTTTCACTGGGGTTCTTTCCTCCACCCCACCTGCCAATCTTTGGCAAGGGTGTCTTTCAAAGACCCAGTCGTCTTGTTTTCTCATCCCCTTCCTAGGCATTTTAATCTCTCCCTTGATTTCTCTGGGCCCACTTAATTTCAGTAGCGGGAATCTTGGTGCTGAGAAATGGAAGTATTAGGGAAAATCCTCCACTAAGACTTTAGTTTCTAGGTGTATTTTGCCTTCTGTCTAGCAATTCTTAATTGCTCCACCCAGTTCCTGTCCCCAGGGATTCTAGGGCCCTTACAGTTCCAATGAAACTTTTCTCCATTCAATTCAACTTATGTTCTTCTCTGAATGTGCCTTTAGGTCTGAAGAACCGTGGTCTGGAGTAGGGAGAAAGGCAGCCGTCAACCAGCCGTAACCTGGGCGACACCCCCCACGCAGGTCGGAGAAGTTCAGGGCCGGACCCAGCACCCAGCTCTGAGCTCGGGTCCAGCGCTCTCCATCCTCCGCTCCCGAGCGCGGGGGCTTCCGGCGCCGGGCCCCTCCTCCCGGGGCGGGGCCTGCCGCTGCCCCGCCCCCTCCCGGGGGTTGGGCGCCGCTGCGGGGCGGGGTTCACGTGAAGGGCGGGCGGGGGGGGAGGGGGCCTGATTTTCCGGCCGGCGAAAGGAGAAGCGGCCCCCGTGAGGACCTCGGGGATTTTGAAAAAACACGCTCCCGGGAGGGAAAGGGGGTTTCGGGCCAGGGG